CCTTGTTCAAATCAAGATTTAAGGAGGTTTATTTGCAGGCACCACTGAGGTCATTTAGAGGGCTCTGCACCTCAAGCAGTGTCAGCTGATGCATTGACATCGCACCTTCAAAGCCAACCAAGAGCCTCGAGGAGACCCAGCAGCTACACAGGCACAAAAGGAGCACCACATCTGTGAGTAAACAGCATCACTGTCCCCTTCGGGACCCAAACAGAGCTCAGGGACAAAGCACGAGCAAGCACACACGTGACAAGTGACCAGCCCTCTCTCGAGGGCCGCTCTTGAGCACATCAATCAAGAGAGCTACCACTGAAAYGCAGCCACTCGTGCTGCACTTGGCAGGGAGCCTTGTGAGGAACTTCTGCATGGCAGGAATTCAGAAATGCACTCACTTTGGGGAATCCAGTGGAAGGGCACACGCTAGGGGTGACTGCCTTAACGTGATGAGAGCACAAACATAAAATACACACACAAATCTGTAAGATTTGAAGCTACTTTTGTGTTTTTATTAAGCTTGGCCTTCCAGCGAACAGCTAAAACAACAACAGTAAAATGCAACTTATGCCCAGCAACCTGTTGCTGCAGCCAGTGAGACCAGCACCAGCCAGGCTGTGGTGCTGGTCTCACTGGCTGCAGCAACAAGCCCAACCTGTAGAGTGGACAGTTGCTACTACTAATTAGCTGCCCCACTCAAAATAATTTCTAACCATCAGAGCATAATTTTGATGAGTAGCTCGTAACTTGAACTTTTTTAAAAAACAACTTACTATTGCCAGCTAGGAAAATAAAAACAGAAAACGAGTAAGTAGCTGGATTTACAAAATACGCAATTAAAAGCTAGTTAAGAAAGTTCCAGCTGAAGGCTAAAGAAACCCCAGATGAGCCACTCTGAAGCTGTCTGCCTAAGGGGCTTGCATAGAGGGGCACATATCCTGCAGCATGTGAATTTTTTAAAGCACTTTGATTAAAAACAAACCACAGACACACGCACATCCATGAACTGCCTATTCTTGTCATCCACGTGTCTGTCTTGGCAGGGTATTCTGTGTCGTGGTACATCTGGACTTTGTAAAGTAAGAAATGATTTGCTATTTTTCCTTTCCATTAGCTTACCCCAAATTCTCGTACAATGGGAAGAGATGAACAGCTCTCCTGTACACCACGATACCCTCTGAACTTAGCTCTTCTTACCACAGAAGATGAGGCTTTTCTCATCACTACACTACATAAATTCTCCCTTGCATTCATTTTTTGTCTCCCTTTTGTCTCCCTCCTTTCTTATCTTTTAGAGAAGGGGCAACCAAAATTTCACCTGTGTTTTTACAGACAGGAGCTACACAGCAGGCCACCTGGACTCGTCACCCTAGACATTGATTCTGGTTTTACAGGAGCAGGAGTCATTAAAGGAGTCATTAAAGTCATTCAAACCACACACCTGAACCCAGATCAATTTCCTTAAGTTGCAACAATTATTTTACCAGTCTGAAATTCTGCAGACACTAACTCAGGTTTCACTGTTGATACCAGTTTCACATCCTTGCTGCCCTGAAAAAGCACAGAGGCCATGAACATCAGTAATATAGCAGCACTGCAGCTTGGTCCCTAGAAAGAACCGAGYGAAAGGAGAGGGATTTTCACAGAGCAGCCTTTCATTAGGAAAAAGGAGAAGAGGCTTTAGAGCGAATCATGCATCGCCAGAGGCCACACAAGAAACCCACGGCTGCTCTTCTCGTGGCCTCCGAGAAGGGCAGCTTTGCTTCTTGCAGCAGGAGCTGCTGAGCAGCAGATACTCAAGTTAACTCATCACAAACCCAACTCTTTCATTCCTTTGACTTGCAGCCAGCGCGGTGGCACATTTCTCACCCTGCCTCATTCAGTTAGCTGTCAAACCTATTTTCGAGGCCTCCAAAATTCACTTCAAGTCCCCATGAAGGAGGGAGACCCTTTAAAGGCTGAACACGCTGCGCTGTGTGCGCTGAGCCACAACACTGGCCGTGGCAGGACCGGCATGCAACAGAAGGGTCACTATGTCCAGTTTCTCCAAACAAGGTCGGGTGAATCACATTGTTGTTTCATTCATACACACTTCCAAATAAAATCATCATCTTCTGTTTATTCTTTCTTTCTGTCCTCCCCCTTCATTTTTTTTTTTTTAATTTCAAATGGATCTCTCTCTGTTTTTCCTTTCCCATCATTTTCATGGGCAGAAGCAGCTTCTCCTTGTTCTTTATTATATCCCCTTCTTTTTTTTTTTTCCTATTTCCAGTTTATCAGCTAGAAGATGCAATTGCCAGGCAAGAAGCCCTGACCAGTGCCAGAGATGGGCAAGACACTCGCTCATGAGAGAGCTTTCCAGGAGAAAAAGCAGGAAGCAGCYGAACAGCCTTTGCTTTACTGTCAGGAACACCTGAAAACTGCTCCCGCTGCCATGGAGCGCCTGCCCGAGCTACCTGCTTGCTCTCCCTGCTCTTTTGTGCCTCTGCTGCACACACACGAGCTCCAGGACTTCCACCCTGAAATAAAACACAAACGTGAGCACAGAGCGTCGGATGGGAGAGAAAGATGACACAAGGAAAATGCGAGACAACGGTGGTGTGGAGCACAGAGATGTCTCCCTGGAGTATCTAGCACACAGACAAATTTTGGGGGTAATAAGGAGGATAACAAGAAGGGTGCTGCTGAGGGAAGATGAGGTTCTGCTGCGAGTGACTCCTGTTCTCCACAGCGAGGAGAAGACTGGCACAGAGGAGCCAACTGTCCGCTTGAAAATAAGCGAGGCAGAAGGATGATGAAGAGGCAGAGGACCTTTACCTGCGGATGCAGGAACAAAGTGTCCTTTAGGATGTTCCCTAGACAAGTCTTACTCTTTTACATTGGCATCTGAGGACCTTCTTTTTGCTGCAAGGCTTGACAGTTGCCTGTGAGAGACTTACAGGAAGCAAACAGCCCAAAACAACCACCCTGAAAAAAAATAAATAAATCATGGAATCATAATGGTTGGAAAGGACCTTCGAGATTATCAAATCCAACTAAATAAAAAAGGCAAGAGCAATTTATCTCCTCGAGTTCTCCTAATCCTGAAAACAGGAAGATAGCTTATTTCCCCGGGAGGCAGCAGAACCCATGTTTTGACTTCTGCAGCTCCRCAGTCGGGGCAATGGGAGCCGTGGGGCTCTGGCGACGGCTGCTGCGTCGCAGCAAGGGCCACCGCGCTGCTCCCAACAGCGGCRCCTCGTGACGTGTGTGAGGGTCCCCCTCACTTCCATGGAGGGTCCAGGCAGCGGAATCTGTCGTGGATTACAGCTCGCTCTGCCCAGAAAGGCGAGCTCTGTATGTGCCAAGTACATTTTTATTCCTTCAGAGGCMTCCCTTAAAAACTAAGTACAGAAATGTATCTTTCATCAAATCTGGTCTCAGAAAYATCTTCTGAACAAAACAGTGATCTCACTTATTCTGATTTCATCACCAACATTAATGCGAGGGCTGTCATCTCYCTTACTGATTTTTATCTTCAAGAGTTTTTCAGACTATAAAACACCCCTCAGGCTATGACTTCCTCTATGAAGGTCACACAAGGCTTTTTTTAAAAACTGTACAGCTGGTTGATTTACCTTAAGCTGCAGARAAGTGTGACACCCCTTTCTAATAGCTAGATACCTGAAAGGAGAAAACTAACATTGCTTTTCCCCACTGGTCTATCCACAAAGCAGCTGAGGTAAGTTATGGAGATGGGCACATCTTCTGTTTGTACAACAAGAGCAGACTGGCAGCAAGTATCCGGTACATTAACATGCTCCTAAGTTTGGTGTTATTTAAGAAATTGCATAATAAAGACAAGTTGCCACACCTGAGGTGATTACCATTTGCTAAAACACGGGGTAGATGAACAGTGTTACTCAGCTTCCTCTAAATATTTACAGGCATTTCAAACACAGCTCTTAATTCCTTGTCAGGCACCATCCTGCTCTTAAAAATCTGCATCTGGACCCTAAACATGGCAAAACCAACKGGAGCTTCTTCCARAGGGCAACGTGGCGGGTACGAGGCSCTGGTGCAGGCAGCTCCCGCGCCAGGGCAGCACCAGGCCGGGCAGGGCAGCGCTGCGGGTCTGCGGAGGTGACCCAGCACCGCGGGTCTGCCACCCCAAGGGCCATTTCTGCTGTCCCCTTGGCCCACGCGGCCCGGCCACCTGCCCTGCGCTCCCGCCACGGCCCGCGGGAGCCCGTGGGGACACCCGGGAGCTCCGCGGAGGAGAACGGCTGTCCTGGAGGGCAGAACGGGAGAAGGTTTCCTGTCGGTTTAGCCTCCCGGGCCTGCGTGGCCAGAGCCAGCGYGAGGCAGGCAGCGAAACCACGAGCCCCGGGCAAGGAGCGGGAAGCCCGAGCTGCACTCGGGGAGCAGCCTCGGCCGCATCCTGAGCCCCACGCGGGGAACAGGGGAGCGCAAACGGARACGCCAGCCCTGCGCGTTAGAGATCCCCGAGGAACCCCCCAGGTCTCGGCGCAAGGGGGGACACCCCGGTCGCCCTCCTCCTGCGAGGGACCCGTGGGAGCCGAAGGGGCCCCGCGCGCGCCGCAGCGGCCGCCCGCTGCCCCTTCCCCACGGCACGGGCCGGGACGAGGGGCGCCACCGGGACACGGACACGCCACGCGTGGACGCACGTACATACATGTATGTGTATGTATGTACGCGTGTGGGCAGCTCGGGCTCTTCCACGAGCGCCCGCGGCCCCGGTGACCACCCGGGCGATCCCTCGAGGTGCCTCCCCGCCGGTGCCGAGCCCGGCACGCGCAGCGGGGCCCGGCTCCCGGGCAGCATCTCCCGCCCCGGCTCCCGCTCCGGCACCTCCGCGCTCCAACACCGGGTCGGGGCGGGGGGGGGGGGGGGGGATTGTGGCGACGGCGCAGAGATTATTTTAGCGTCAGAAATAAATAACTAACGGATAATAATAATGAAAAAAGGCACAAGGCGGCGCTCCCCGGGCCGGGCGCCGCGCTCACCTCGTCGCCCCACTTGAGCACGTCCTTGTGTCGGTCGCGCAGCGCGCGGTAGATGTGCAGGAACTGGAGGATGCCGTGCGCGCGCACGTGCGCCGCGTGCCGCCGCGTCTGCTCCCAGCTCAGCGGCGAGCCCTGCGACAGCAGCCCCATGGCGATGGCGACGGGGATGGCTGTGCGGGAGCGCGGCCGCCAACGGGCCCGGCGCGGCCGCACGTGACGGTGGCGGCGGCGTCAGCCCGTGACTCAGCACTTTCCGCCGCCAGGCTCCGCCCCGGGAGCCTCCGTCGCCGCCGCCGCCCGCCCCTTCCCGCCGCCGGGGCCGCGCGGCCCCGGCGGCGGGAAGGGGCGGGCGGCGGCGGCGGCGACGACAACCACGACGACGACGCGAAACCGAGCGAAGCAGAAGAGAAGAAGGGGAAATAACATGAAATGAAATGAAATGAAGTGAAATAAAATGATAAAATGGCTTCTGCGGGTGTTTTYGGTGGCGGGAGTGCGGGTGTTTTCGGGTGCTGGGCCCCGCCGCGAGCGTGGGTGGCTCTGCCCAGGGAAGGCACCAGGCTGGGAGTGTGTTTGTGTGTGTGGGGGGGGCGTTATTCTGGTGATTAGTTGGTTGCTAACTAGTACTGGTAGTTTAGTGCTAGTGCTTGTCGAGTGCTAGAGTACCAGTGCTCATAGAGTACTAGCAGTCATAGTACTCATAGAGTACCAATACTCAGCAGTGCTGTGTAGTACTAGTGGTCACTAGTACTCATAGAGTATGTGTTCTAGTACTCATAGAGCACTCATACTAGTGTTCTAGTACTCAGAGCAGTCATAGAGTACTCATAGAGCACTGGTGTTCATAGAGTACTCTAGAGTACTAGTACTCATAGAGTAATGCAAAATGAGAATGAATAAAAATGAAAAGAAAAAAGAATGAATAGAAATAAATGAATAATATAAATAAATTATATGAGTTAAATAAATAAATAGACTAAGTGGGAAAATGCTGTTTGGTTTAGATTTGGTACCCAGTAGAACAACATCAGCACTGTTGAAAACGTCTTCTGAATGAAGAGAAAGGAATAGGCAGAATAAGAGGGCCTGAAGAAAGGCTCCCGCTTCCCTGGAGCCCTTTGTAGCCCCCACGGAAGGTGGGGGATGTAGGTGGGTTTGCAGAGCACACCACGAAATTCGTGGTGCTGGAACTCTGGTTTTGCAGCACCTGCGCTTGCCTCTTGCTCACAGGCCTGTGTGAGGAGCAAAGCAAAGTTAAATCGGTGGAATATTTGATTTGGGGCATTGCCTGCTTATGGATGAATTAGATATTTCATTAACTGAATAACTGAGTGGGCAAAAGCTGCCCAGCTGCCCTCTTTCCGTTGTATGAGGTGCCCCAAGAACAAAGGAAGCTCCTTGCACGTTAACACAACAAACCTGAAGTGCCTTAGTTGAAAATATTAAAGTAAAACCACTTGGAAGTAAAATGTTCCATACCTTGGTTGTTTTGTTTGATGGCTTGAGTTGCTATGGCAAGGGCAGCCTTGACAAAAGACATTCTAACAAGAACAAGCACTAAGGTTAAAATTACAAGCTGATGTTTTTTTCTGTAATATTCTACATTTAGGGACTGGTGACTTTTTTAAGATTCCTCTTTTTAGCTAAAATTTTCATGGCTGATGTCTGCTGCAAGCAGTTCTGTTAGAGTTGATACTGCTGCAGATCTGGAGATGGCTTGTTGAGCTTGTGTGAAAGAGGAAACGAAAACTATCCTTTTCATTTATTAAAAAAAAAAAAATCCCATGGTATTTTTCAATTTCCAAATTCAGGAAGTCAGCAGGGGTGGGATGAAGTGTTGCTCTTGTGCAAAAGCCACGTCCCACTTGGTTCTGGTCTCACAGGGACAGAGCCACTTTTTGCACTACCTGACCTACTTGAGGAGAGCTGCTCCAAAGGATAATGATTCATACCACGGTGATACCACCCCAGTGCCCGACCTCRGGTTTCCCACAGCTTCAATGTCCAGCTGCAGCAGCCGAGAAGCCCCAGCAGTGACAAGTGCTTGTAGCTGCTGCCTAAAAGTGGCTTTTTTCCCAGCTCTGTTGACCCCTTCCCATGTCCTCTTGGGACAGTCAAGTCTGGTTTGATAKAAACGTTGTTGTATCAGAGTCAGCTTTCCTTGTCTCATGAAGCTAACAGAGCCCACCCGGGTTATTTAGGGTTCTTGCTTGTGGTTCATCAGGCTGACAGCGCACTACGTTGCTGAGGGAAAGCACTACTCTTTGGAAAGAACCAAGTTTTTGGAAGATCCCTGCTGCTTTTAGCGTGCTGTGGTTAACTATAATCATTCTGTACTTTTTTAGCCCAATATGCAAAATCCCCAAACTGAGATGAGCTTTATTACAATGCAGGGTGCTGCTAAGAGATCTGTAGTGTCTAGCTAGCCACTCATAGTACTCTTTATACCGGGCTTTAAAAGTGCCTTTTCAGTATCTGTCTTTCTGCACATTTATACTACGTTTATTCTCCTGTTATTTCAGTACCATTATCTGCTGTTTTTCTTTTCTACAGTTCACGTGCACTTTGTAGCCTTATGAACTAGAAAACTAGTACTCTGTTGATAAGAGAAACCCAAGATATTTCCCTTCTCTACCAGTAGAACTGATAAAAATTTTGGCTATGTTTTCTCACATCGTAATCTTTAGCATAACAGAGTGACAAGTCRGTTTTGTTTATGAGGTGTTTGCCATCTTCAGCTGAAGTTTTTTTCTGCCTTCAGTTCTAAACATGTGTATTCTGACAGTACCAGAGTATATATATTTATATGTGTATTTTTTTTTCCTTTTCCTAAAGGACTGTGGCGTGGAGGAGGAGTATCAGCCATTGTAAGGCTGTCAACATGAATTGTAGAAATGCTCATTTATGCATAATATGGAATCTGACCTCAGGGGGTGCACAAATATTGCATATATATATGCATATGTGCAGAATGGTATGTAATTATTTCCAGTACACTCAGTGTCAAAGAAGGATTGCCGAGCATTCAGGCATTACATTTGATAATTGAATTAGTTTAGGTGTATATCAACTTTCTAGACCTGAGAGCTCACTGTTTTCTCTGGACAGTCCAAAGGAAAAGCTTCTTTTAGCTTCATGTTTGAGAAGAATCTTTTACTAAAAAAATTGCAATTTGCATTGCTCTTTGCCTGAATTTAGCAACATGAAGCTTTTAGAATAGTAGATGCAATCCAAACTACCATTAAGCTCTCACTTTACTCTTACGAGATCTATTTTATAACTAGGCCATACCGCTTTCCTTAATTCTTTATCTCATCGGTAGCTGCTCTTCAGGCCCAACTAGGGACTGTTACTGATTCCTGAAGCTATGTCTACTGATCACACAGCAAATTTGTATTTACTTTAGAAACTAGACCAGGGAGTGTGATTTTAGTAGATTTTAAAGATGTCCTTTTTTTTCTTTTATGCTCAGTTTATGCAATTAATTTAATTAAGCTCTAATTTAATTATATATTCACATAAACAAATACRGCTTTTCATTTTTTTGTCCTCCTCTCTGTGCTCTTTTAGGACAGAAGAAGCCTTGCCTAGGATGAAAAGGAACACAAACTGTCTGCATCAAGTTATAATGTGGCAATACTGTGTTTAAAATTTTTGCCAGGTGCGATTTAGCTTCTTGTTTGTGGTGCTGTTGATACAGCATGGTGACACTAAGAAACGTCTGTGCCAGGGAGAAAATTATTTTAAGAAATGAAGTTGTACTCAAGTTACAAAATCACAACACTTTGTATAGATCTTTGCTTTGAAAACCATTGGAAAAATTGTCGTCAATTGAATGAATAGATGAAATTGAGTGGGGATCTAGAACAGCTTTTCCAATATCTTCTTCCAAAAGGAGAAAAACCTGTGTACTTTTAGGCCAGTGGCACTGAGTCTATGGAAAAAAAAAATTATATGTCATGGAACCTGCAGTRCTGAAGATGTGACCTTAAGGGTCGTGTATGTTCCTATCTTTCTAGCAACTCCAGTGAGAATAACCTGCCTTATCTTTTGTGTATCTGCAAAGCAGTTAAAATCAGCTGCCACTAAATCCAAATTGAGCAACTCACTCTCCAAATGTGGAATATACCCAATTGGAAACATGAAAGATCTGTATAACTGCAGTGGGACTACTCCTACAGAGTGCTTTCTTTTACAGGCTGTCATTACAAGTAAAAAGTACAAGTCTTATGATGAGGCTRTTATTACAGGGAAGAAAGAAAGGTTTGTCTTTCTTCATGAATAATCTGAAAAAAATGCGTGGAGTAGCATTGTTCAAGGTGACTGTTGAGTTGGTGTTATGTAATTCTGGGAATAAATTCACGTGAGTTCAGTTGGAACAATCCACTTCGAAAGATTCAGAGTAACGTATTTGGTAGAAAAAAAGCACAAAACATTGTATTTTCTGATGAAATTTATATTTTTCCAGATGTGTAATTATTTCAGAGAAAGCTGTGATACTGAATGCCCTCCTAGCTAACTTGTCAATTAGTGAGTGAAATACCATTGTGACTTCTTCATATTGCCTTAAATCTCTTCTTTTTCTTGTCCATAGCCTGTTGCCTCTCCACCTGATGTATTGAAAATGTAGGATTAAATGTGTCATGAGTCTGAGTGGCACATTTTTAATTTTTGTGGGATATTTATTCCTACTGTCGGTTTTTAGCTTGAAGGAGCTTATATGCTTCAATGGGAATGTTGTATACATTTCAGTGTATAAAATTTAATCCATTTATATGAAAATTGTTACTTCTTCCCCAAAAGACTTCAACTTGGATCAGTATGTTCTTTCTGCAAGGAATTTGTATTTCTAATTTCTTAGTAGCTCATATGTTCTTTCATGTGACTGTGCACAGCATATGGTTTCTGCCATACTTAATCGTGTCATGAATACCACTAGTGTTAATAGCAGAAGCTGTAGTGTGTACTAGCTGTGTATGGGGGTTGCTGAGCCACTATATCACAAGCATTGTTTTCAGCATCTTCTAAACTGGAAAATCTGAATTACAGGACTGCCTTCATGCTGTTTTTTCCCAAAGGACTGGCCTAAATTTATTATTTCCTTAATAAATCGTAACATTGTAATATACAATAAAATAAAAGAATGCTGGGTGCTCAGGAGCAAAGCA